CAATCGCGTCCCATTGCACAGTCCCATAGAATGGTTCATATTGCGCAACAACATTATTGGATTTCCTACCTTCAGGTGCAACTTATGGTTAAGAGTTCCAGAGCACTTGATGCTATTTAAGAATTTTGGCGTGTGAAGATCTGCCAAGAAATCATTGGCATAATCCGACTTAGAAGTACTGTCAGAGCTCAAGTACGTACGACCTTCAGAAGAATTCATATCGGACATGTGTTGATTGATGGACTCAACAACTTCCAATGTGGGAGCTAATATATCCCTATCCTTCAAATAACTCGGATCGTCAGTTGCGTTCTTGAAAATTGGATAGGTACTTTCTACAATCGTAGCAATTGGATCATCATATGGATCCAATCTTATATCATCTGGAATTTCGATCGCGGCACAACCATCATTTGATCCTCCTATAGGACCATCTCCAATACTCGCAATCCAATCCGCAAATGCAGCCACCTCGTCACGCTCATCCGAATCGAAAATGCTCTGAAGACGCATGTTTTTCGTAAGCCGGAGCATAGTACAATTCCTCCAAATGCTGGATGCATTAATAGTTGCATTGACAATGTCCTGGCGACTCCCGTTTGGAATGACTGGAAGGATTTGTCGAAAATAATTATAATATGCTTAATATACCTATTTATGTATATACGTATATACATAATAATTTTTTTATATTTACATAATAATATATAACGAAAAAAAATATATACGACTGTGTAATATAATATTTATGTAATTCGAATGTATAAATATTTATATATATATATATATATATATATTATATATGTAATACATACTAATATATACTCAAAAAATTATATATACGCATATACATAACAATATAATATATAAATATATAATTTTATACGTAATAAATACTAATATATACGAAAAAAATATATATTCGTATATACATAATAATATTTTTTGCATATACGTTATATTATATACGTAATCTATCATTATATATATAAAAACAAAAAAAAAAAAATACTTACTTCAAATCCATCAGAATGAAAGCCACCGTTTGGGTTTTACCTGTTTTCACTTGCTTTTGTTGAATACTTTATACATCAATAACAACTTCAATGACATATACAAATTTGATTTTATATTAAATTTCAAATTTAAACAATTAATACGATAGTAAAAATAAAAGAACTGAATTACACTTTTTGTAAATATAATATTAAAGTATAATAAACGTACATAAAAAAAAATTGCACATCTAATATTTTATACGAAATAAAACAAAAGTACATGTTTACCGAATAGATTGATAACATCAATATTGTGGGCATCTTGAAGTGTTGCAAAATCCTTAAAATTAAATCTATGAATAGGGAAATCTCCTTTGATCTTCAAGAATTGAGTGCTTTGATGCAATAATCTTGAATTCATGAGGAGTGAGGCGATAATTACCAACATTACTATCTACCCAATAATTTTGAATGCCAATCACATCACCTTCCACATATTTGTTTTTGGTGAATTGTTTGATGTGCATAGATCTAACCCATGCGGTGATGCGACTCCCCTGTAAAAAATATAGAATAAAGATTTATCATGAATTGAACATATTTGTATAAAAAACAAATAAAAAATATCATAACAGTACATCTTCATCATGGAGGACAATTTCGAGATAGTTCTGAAACTTGTTTTCATACTTTCTCATGCTCATTCTGACGATACGAACCCAGAGCATAGGTCTTTTGGTTCTCTTAACTTCACTAATTGGTCCCCATGACTCGTCCATTTTTTAAATATTGAAGATTGAAAACTTGTGTTTAGTCTGTGTGGATGAGAATGATAAGAAACTAATACTTATAGGATCGAAATAATTAAAGGAAGAAATAAAACAGAGAATTAAAAAAAAAAAGAATTTTAAAAATAAGAAACACGGAAATTAAGTTATCAATATACAAATAAATGATGTCTAAATATTAGTATTATTCGAATACCATGCAAAATCTGATTCTTTCCAACTTCACGTGTAAATCATTTAGTACATATCCAGAAAAGGCTATGAATTTATGGATTTTTTTTAGGTAGGCGAAAAAATAAAAGATCAAATTGATTTGTAGAACATTTGTATTATTCGAAGTTCATGCAACATAGGATTCTTTTTATTAAAGAATTCGGATTTTTTATTCTTTTTTTTAAGGAATTTGGATTTTTTATTTATTTAACAGAAGTTCATGATAGGATTCTTTTTGTTAAGGAATTCGGATTATGTATTTATTTAACAAAAGCACCGGGCATTGAGGGACTG